ACTAGCAGTTCCACTATCTGTTAAACTAGGGCTGCAGAGGCCTCTGTGCAGAATCTGAAAAGTCAAACACAGTAGGGCACAAAAGTAACCCAAGCAAACTTAAACAATAATGACTCTCTCATCCTAACCTCAGTCTACATTTTAGGTGGGCTCTGGAAGGTTGTAGCAATCTTCTGACTGTAAATGTACATTCACAAGACAGGGACTTACAGACATGCAGAACTAACCCATGCCCAGCTCAAACACTTCCAACAGAATTAGAGCAAAAGCTATAAGGAATTTCATCTGTTACTGATTTGTACATAGACTAACTAGGAAACTCATAGCTTTTTCTAAAGCAACACTTCATCTGTATACTAGGTTTACTTCAGATAAGAAGTCAGTCAGTGGTCAGTGAGATAGCTCAGTGAGTAAAGGTGCTTGCTGTACAAGCCTGGCAGCCTGAGTTTGATCCGCAGCACCTGGGTAAAGGTGGAAGGAGAGAACCGACTCCACAAAGTTGTTCTCTGATCTCCACACACACACTGGCACACATGCACACACATACACACACACACACATCATGTACTCATATAATAATAAATAACTCAGCCATCAGAGAGTAAAATATGTTCCAAGATGAGCAGTTTTACTTGAAAATCCACAGAAACAACAGTTAATGATCTCTATGGTTTTTTTTGTTTTTTAACATTTTCTATTTTCTTTCCCACATTTGTGTGTGTGTGTGTGTGTGTGTGTGTGTGCACACGCAGAGGTCAGAGGACAGCTTAGAGGAGTCATTTCTTTCCCTCCACCACGTGGGTCCCAGAAATGGAACTCAGTTGTCACACTTTACCCACTGAGCCATCTCACCAGCCTTCTATGATGTTTTTATTTTACTTTGGGCTTTGAGATAGGGTCTTCCTGTATCCCCAGCTGGCCTGGAACTCACTATGTACACCATGCCTGCCCCAATCTTAGAGATCCTCCTGCCTCTGCTTCCCAAGGGCTGGGATTAAAGGCAAGCGCCACCACGCCTGACTTCTATGGTGTTTGTAAACTTCAGCATTAAGTTCTAATCCTATGCATTACATCCAAACATCTGAATCCACAAACTTATTTGCTACTGAACCAGGGGTGCTCATTTGGCTGGTAGATGAGCAGTTAAGGGACTTATCGTGGACAGAGCAGAAGTCCCCAAGTTCCTGACAGGCAGTGAGTCTCCCTGCTGCCAGCAGAAAGTTCAGAGCCAACTTCTACTTCTGCTCTAGTGCCATTCAGCATTTCACGATTTTTTATCTAAAAACCGCCCAGCAATGTCATAAGCTGCAACGCATTAGTATTTGATAAACGCAACCCTGAAACAGGTTGTTTGGGTAACGAAAATGTGAGTTTTTATCCTTGTATTGTTCATGTAGATTAACTGTCACTGTCAGAAATCTGGATGCTTAACTTTTTCCTCTTAATATTATATAACTGCTTAGATAAATTCAAATAAATTTCGCGAGAAACTAGTGGTGATGGCGCCCTCTACTGGTGGAAGGTAAAAGTTCCCAAATGAAAAGCCAGGAAGGCGGGATGACAGAGAGAGGTTCTAGGTGATTAGAGCGGAAGGAAAGACAGAAAGAAGTAAGTGGGAAATAAGCCTATCAAAGAAAAAGGATGTGGGAAAACGAAGAAGGCATGAGGTCAAAGGGAAAGAAAATCAGGTATACAAATCACAAAGGCTGGGGGCTGGCAAGACGGCTCAACCAGTCAGGATGCTTACGGCCCGCCTGAGGACCTGAGTTCGATCCCCAGCACCCAGGTGGTGGAGGGAGAGAGCCCGGAAGTTGTCCTCTGAAGTCCGCACATGCACTGTGGCACACACACACAGAAATAGATGTAATTTTAGTTTTTTTTTTAAATCAAGAGGAAATATGAGTTAGGAGCAAAGGTTAAAAAGGAAAAAAAAAAAGACTAGAAATCTCATTAGTCATCACCATAGTAACCCTGAAAACACTGGTAATTTTCCAGATCCAGAAGATTCTCAAACAGGAATCGTAACTGTGAAGGTTTATCAACTTACCATCCTTGGAATTTTGGCAGTGTGGAAATGTAGAAAAAGTCTGGCTTTTTAAAAGTGTGTGTGTGTGTGTGTGTGTGTGTGTGTGTGTGTGTGTGTGTGTGTAATTGAATCATTTGATTCAATTTTTCTGAGATGTTCAAAGCAGATAATATTTATAGTACAGAAATTATGCAGAGTCCTTGTGCAGTCATTGGTTAGTATCTGATGAGACCCCTATGCCCTGTTCTAAGCCAATAGGAGATCGATATGGGCAACACCCTGCAGAGAGCCTGGGCCTCTATGTCCCATCTTCTAAACAGAAGTCTCTTTGAACGTAGCACCTGCTTTTCAGAATCACAGAGACGCTGTGGTTTCTACCTTCCAGTTCACAGTCATAGAACCCGTGCTCACTAGAACCACATAACCCTAGAGGAGGGCTGAAGAGGCTGATAAGGCGCATAAACACAGCTCCAACTGCCAGAGAAAGACCCACCCACAACTGTGCTCAGCCATCTTTCAAGATGTTTAAGCAAATCTATGCTGAAGAAGCCCTTAAATGCAAGGTTAAAGCAGACACTTGGAAAGATTTCTAAGTGACTGTGCAGGTTTGTGTGTGCATGTCTGTGTGTGTGCAGGTGTGAGCGGAGAGGTGGGTGCATGTGGAGGCCACAGGTCAACCTCAGGAGCTGCTCCTCAGGTGCTGCTCACCTTGTTTTATGAACAGGGTCTCCCACTAACCTGGAACTCACCAAGTAGACTGGGCTGAGTAGCCGATGAGTTAAGAATCCCCATCTCTGCCTTCCCAGCACTGGGATTACATGTGTGTGCCACCATGCCTGGCTTTTTTTGACTTAAAAAAATTATTTTCATTTTATGTATATGAGTATAGTGCCTGCATGTATGTCATGCAGTGCCCTCAGAGGACAGAAGACGGCATCAGATCCCCTGAAACCCGAGTTACAAATGGTTGTTAGCTACCAAGTGGGTGCTGGGATTCGAACCTGGTCTTCTGCAAGAACAGCCAGTGCTCTTAACCAATGAGCCATCTCTCCAGCAGCCTAGATTTTTTTTTTCAATGTGAGTTCTGGGAATCAAATTCAGACCCTAGCACATAGCAAGCATTTTATTAACTCAGCCTCTCCCCAGCCCAGGTTTTGTTTTTTGGGTTTTTTTTTTTTTAATTCAGTGGCTGAGGCTAAACTTTTTTCTCCCATTTCTTTATACTTTCCTTGGTAGCACCAAGTGTCATCACGATGAACTATAAAGTTTTTTCAGTGGGGACCCAGGCAGTGAAGCTGACACTTTGAACAGTCTGAACTGTTTTTAGCAAACCATAAATTTGCATGATAAAGCACCAAAGATCTGGCTGCAGGAGAGGGTGCAGGTGTGGGGGCCTGCCTTGCTCCAGGTGTGCTCTCTGAGAAAAAGAAAACCGTATACAAAGAATGAAGCCTTGGAAGGGGGATTGTTTGCAAGGAGCCCTTGCCCTCAACTTCCTTCTCCGGGTGGTGGCCCACCTCCAGGCCTGGGTTAGTTGTTTAAAGTCATCAAAGGGATATCTGTGGCTGGATATCTAAGAGGACACATCACAGTCCAAATGAACTTTGCTGCCCGCTGTTGGCAGCCACATTGCACCATGAGGTTCTGATGGGTGCCCATGAGCTCAGCTGCCAGGCTTAGAGGGAGAACACCAACTGGGGAAGAGAAAAAGGGTAAATGACAACTTGTGGAGTCAGTTCTCCTTGCATCATGTGAATTCCAAAGATTGAACTCAGGTCACCAGGCTTGCACGTCAAGGGCCTTTAACCCACTGAGCCATCTCGCCAGCCCCTAACTTTACCATCTTAGCCATTTTGAAGAGTACAGAGCAGTGCTGTGGTCATATCCATGTTCTACAGATGTCACCACCCCATCTCCAGACCTTTTACACTGACCCTCTGTCCGCATGAAGCAGTGTCTCCCATGGCCCTCACCACAGTCCCTGGCCACTGTTCTGCCTTTCGTAAAAGGCAGAGGAACTCACGTCAGCAGACACACACAGCATTTGTCACTTTGTGACTGGCTTGTTTCACTTAGCACGGTGTCTCCCAGGTCCAGTCATATAGAAAGTAACATGTCAGAATCCCCTTCCTTTTCAAGGCACAGAAATATCCTATTACGTGGATATACCACATTTCGTTTGGGCCTTCACCCATCGCTGGGCACTGGGTTTGTTTCCATATTTGGGATTATGAATAACCATGCCAACATGGGAGCATGTTTAAAACAATATGGCTTAAAAAGTGGTTCTCAGGTCTGGAGAGATGGTGCCAAGTAAGGTGCTTGCCACGAAAGTATGAGGACTGACTGGAGTTTGCATCCCCAGGACTCACTTAAATGTTGGGTGGGTATAGCATCCACTTGTAATCTCAGTATTCAGGAGGCAGAAACGGGATCCCAGGAGAATGCTAGCTTGCTAGACTAGTCAAATTGGTGAGCTCTGGGTTTGGGTGAGAGACCCTGCCTCAATATATAAGGTGGAGAGCCATAGAGGAAGACACCTGACATCAACCTTTGACCTCCATGTGCACACTCACACGTGTGCACAAATGCATACACACTTGAATACACATCACACAGGAATACACATGAAAAACAAATGGTTCTCAGCCTACAAAAGGCAGTTGCCTCAGATTACTGTAAGTGGGAAAAGCCTATAACTCTGCCTCCTTCAGAATGAAGGCCTTGAGCATCACAGCCTGTGGCTGAGGTTACATCCTGGAGACCCGGCTGCTGGTGCCTCATCTGAGCAGTTTTATCTGCATCACAAGTTTGCATGCACTATGTGCTGGGGGGGGGGTCTCTCCTTGATGCGGGCTCCTGCCTCTGCCTTGCTGACATGTCACTAACTGGTTCTCTTTTCTCACACCCTCCCTCCCCATCCCACCTCCATGTCCTCTCTGCCTTCCTTTTTCTGGCTCCCTCTGCTCTCCAGTGCGACCAAGACCAGTGCATTCAGAGCACCAAATTCGTTTTGCAGGCCGCAGCCACTCCCCTGCTGCAGAGCGAGCCCAGCCTCACCAGCGAGGAGCTGCACTTGCCCGGGAAGCCGGGCCTGGGTACACCATGTACCAGCCTGACGCTGGGCCAGCCCACACCACCCTCCTCTATGCCCAACCTTGCTGCCGAGACCACACTATCAGACATTTTGCCTCTGAAGGAGGAGCATGGGGGCCACCAGTTTCTGACCCCAGATGAGGCACCCTCACCACCACGGATGCTGGGGGCCAGCAGCCCCCTGACACATAGCCGCACCATGCATATGCTGGGCCTGGCCAGCCAGGACTCACTGCATGAAGACTCTGTGCGGGGCTTGGTGAAGCTCAGCTCCGTGTGACCCTCGTGGCCAGCCCTGGGACCATAGACCATGGGAGCAAGCAGAGAGGTGTGCCCCATAGCTGTGGAGATGGCAGCCCAGGTCCAGGGCACAAAGAACGGCTCAAAAAGCTAACAGGGAGCCCCTCGTATGACAGAGGGTGGGCTCCAGCTGCTCACAGCTGCTTTATCTCGTTTCTTCTCCACTCAGAAACAGTTGACAAAAAATAATGGACATAGCCAAGTGGCCGTTTCGTTTGGAATCTTCAGGGTGAGCTGAGGGAGGGAGGACCCCTTGCCAGGGATGCAAAGAGGCTGCATGGATTCAGCCCCTATTCTGCTGTTCTTGGGACAGACTCGCAGAAGGTTTCTGACACTTGTGGCCAGACTGAAATTGCATTTAATGTTATACTACTAGTCAAGATAGACACGCCATTCCATTTGTTAATTGAAACAAAAAATCCTAAAGGGAAAAGCCGGCCAGACATGAGGTTTGCATGCCACGCTACATCTGTGTTACAGTGGTGTTGGCATTCCAGAGGAGATGCTGCTTTGTTTTCCTTCCTTTCTCTTTTAATTTTGTGGAATTTTCCAGTGCTGTTTTGTCAGAAGACAGTGCAACAAACCAATCCTAAGGGACAATGCCATCTCAAGTGGTTTATTGGGCTTAGCTATATGTGAACAGGTGTCATCTGCTGCAGAGGGCTGCTGGGGTCTGTCTTGGCCTGGACAGACATTAAATCTTCTGTCAGTGCTTAGATGGGGTGTTGTGTTGTTCCACTGTGCCCCAGTCCTCACTTCCTGTGATCAACTTCCCATGGACAGCCAATAAAATGACATCCTCTGTTATTTTCTGATCTGCATACAGTTGTCCTTAACATCTTACATGAAAACAGGTCACTTGGATGACCCACCCAGAGTTTCGTTCTTTGGTTTTGGTGTTTTTAAAAAGCCAAAACTCGGATCTTCAGGTTGGGTACATGATTTTTTTCAATGAGAATTGAATATGCCAAGTGTCCCCCTTGACACAGGCCCCTTCCTAATCTCTGCTTAATAGATGCTTGACAGGATTTGTCCTGTACCTACAGATACATCCATGCAGTGATTATGTGTGGTAGGTAGAGGGAAGGTACCCAGGAAAAGGGGTGCTGTCTGCCTGTCACCCCCAGCTCCCTGTGGTGTTCATGTGTTGCCAATCTCAGAGGCACAGCTTGAGGTCCTGGTGAAGGTGTCAGAAATGAGGAGAAACCAGCCCCACATTGGGTCTGAGGTCACATAAATCACATTCTAAATGAACATGCATGAGAATGGGAAGAAGATAGCTGCTCTGTCACTTCATTTATCATCTGGGAGGGGCCAGTCTCTCTGGAGGCAGCAGCAGGAAACTCACCATCTCCCCAGGCTTCTTTTCCAATGCTACGTCCAAGTCCACAGAACTCAAAACCAGTCTTGCTTCTTAGGACCACCCAAAAGCAAGATGCATGGTGTCAATACAAGCATCCCCAAATAATGTGCATGTGAAGGAAAAGGCCGTCTCGCCTAGAAAGTAGAGATGGTAGTTTTACTTCGGATAAAACTAGTTCCATCCAGACCACACAATTGTTCTGAGAACTGCTGCAGAACTCCTGCTTGGACATCTTGTGCATCTTTACTCATACTTAACACCAGTGTATAGAATTGAAAAGGTGAGTTATATGAACCCACTTTTACTTTCTAGACCCTCCTAACTACTTGTTATTTAGGACAGAGCTTTCCTCATACAGACATACACACAGCCTATAAGAAGAGTGATAGCCCACAGAGGCCCTCCTACACCGTCCCTAACTATCTCCACCTCCCAGGAGAGGGTTGGGGTGATGAGAAAGGAAAGGTTGGCTCAGGCTTATTCTGGGGTCAAATGTGGCCTTGTCTAGTCCTAGTTTCTGCCCCTAGAAGAAAAGCCTGGTCTTTGTCCTGCCATTCCAAACACCCCTAATACTGAGATTGTTCATTGCCTGTGACCAGCACTTCTTCCAACATCACCATGAAAAAATCCAAGAAGCAAGGATTGCATGACATATTCATTTAGTACAGTTGGCCCTCTGGCTCCTGTTCTGTCTGTGGATCCAACCAACTGCTGATTTAAACTATTTGGGGGGTGGGACTTGTGTCTCTACTGTATGTGCATGGAGTTTTTTCCCCTTGTCACATCTCCTAAATACTATTTACATAGCACTTACGTTGTGTTAGATATTATAAGTCATCTAGAGATGATTCAAAATCTCAAGAGGATGTATGCATATCTATGCAGAAATTATGCAATTTTACATAAGAGATTTGAGCATCCATGAATTTGGTTATCCACGGGGTTCCTAGAGTCAATCCCCCAAGAAACAGGAAAAAAAAATTATTACCACTTATCAACTCCATGCTTTGTATATATATGGCACCATTTATCAAAGAGGGGTTTGTAAAAATGAATCAAGGTTATTCATAGTCAAGAGGGAAATTAACCTGAATGGGCCAATTTGCTAAAACAGTGGACATCATAAAACCCACAAAATGCCCATGGCTCTTTCCTTTGTGGCTTGGGATTAAGTGATTGCATTCTTAGGGGCTCCCCCTTCTGGGAGGCTGGAGAGGGGGTAGAAACTGCCATGCAGTGAGACAAGGGCTCTGCATTTCCCATTGTCTGGATCTGGATCCATCTAGTGTGGCTGAGTAGACCTTGGCATTTCTAAATGCCTCCAGGGAGTTAGCAATTGGTTGCATGCTAGCTAGAAAAAAATAAGATAAATATTTTACTATGCTATTACGGCTTGGACCATTAAAACACACACACACACACACACACACACACACACACACACACACA